CAAAAGTCGCCAAACTTGGCGACCATTTGGTGACATTTTGGTCCAATCCCTGTATCACAGAGAGAGCATCTGCTCTGTCGCCCATGCATGCCAGACTGCGGTCATGTAATTTATTCCCGCCTCTGGGTTAAGGTAACCACATAAGGTTTACCCTAAATTAAAAATAACAAGCGACTTGCCAATGGCTACAGATATTTTTGGGGAAAAGCTCCTTATAGCTAAGACCAAATGGTGAAGATGTTTTCGGTCATTCAGTTGTTGTTAGCTCATTGTGACTTTGGAGTACTGAGATTTCTCTGGGTAGCTTTCTCTTTAGCTGCGCTTTACACTGCTTTCAGTTTAACATTCATAAAAGTTTGAGCTGTAACTACACATTGCACTCTATAATACAATGAAGAGTTAAATGATTATTTTCACAGAAAGTTCCATATCTCTGAAGTGTTTCGTTTAATAAAATAAATTTTATCAACCTGTCATTGGACCTGTGTGTATTCAATCTGTAACAAACCCATATGCAGGCAACACTTTTTGGTCTCATGAGTGGGCTGAATGCTGGTGACAAGAGGGCTGGATGAGCAAGTAAGACTGCTGGTGATTGCTTTTGCTGCATTTGAATAAAAGACCGTCAAAGGAGAGATGAAAGTCGGACAAGAATCCGTTAAGAGGAGGTTAAAGCTAGCCAACATTCCATTAGCGAAATTAGTGCCACAACAGGGAACAAATTCGAGACTAATGACGACAGAATAGACATGGTTGAAAATAGAATTGGAGAAATTCAGTTTCTTCCATCAATGAACAAATCAAAGATAGAGTTTTTGCCATTGCGAAACAAGCTGTACCTTAATCAAATGCACGACAGTAGGAAGCACTTCTGATGGATTGAAATTTTTACCCATGTCTTCTCAGCCCACTATGAAGCTATCCATATATGATGGCAAGGCCCGCCTGGGAAGTGTATAAGACACATTTTCTATAGTGGTAGATGAGAATGGATGGTATTCTCAAACTAAGGGTTTGTCATCTCACCGCTTCTTTGAGAGCAGACACAGAGGATATCCTTCAAACTCTTCACAAAAAGCAGAGGCTAGGCTTTCAGGCTCTATCGAGCACAATGAAGCTGCCTTTTGGGAAGAACAGTTTAAAGGTTTACAGTAGGCTTCAATTAAAATCCCATCAACAAAAGGCCATAGAACAACTCCAGGAACTTGGCACAGATGTTGAAAGGGTGTCTCATCTTGCCTTTTCAGAATGACTGCAGAAACAAGAGAAATCCTGTCCCTGCATACTTCATAGATGGCATCCAGGATCCAGAAATACAGAAATCTCTGCAAATGGCAGATGTCAAGGATTTAAAAATTCTAGTGTATGCTATGAAATTCGAGGCAGTCCAGAAAGCAACTCATAGAGACCACCACACAATCAAGAGCTGCTCAAATCCAAGAGGCAGTAGATCAACTGACTGCTGTATTAGACCATTTAGCCAGACAAGTCAATGCCTTGGGACAGAATAGAAGTGACAAGAAACGAACCTTAAAGTGATGGAACTGTGGTGCTAAAGGCCACTGTAATAAGCGTATAAATGAACTGTAGAATGCCCCAGGGCATGGGAAAAAAGCAACAACACAGGAAACAAATTATGGGTTATCTTACAGGAGTTTAAAAGATAAAGAGAAGTCCTGTTTTAAAGCTCTTCAGATTTATACAGTGAGTGGCAGTAATGGACTCTTGATCATGGGATATAGCAATGGAGTTCTGTGCAATATGACCATCAACACAGGACTCAATTTTTCCATCATTCAGAAAGATTTAGCTCAATAGTTTTAAGATAAACTAATCTGGATGCAATCCTGCATTACCCTCATACATCTGGAGGTAAAATGGAGAGGATGGAAATTAGATGTAAACATCATGTTTGGAAGTGCCACCTACCATCACACGGCATATGTGGCAGATATTACAGATCCTTGTATACTCGGATTGGACTTTCTAAGGAAATATAATTTTGCCTTGGACTTTAAAAATAACAAACTGCAGCCTCTGAGGACATAACTATCCATCATCGGAAGGGATTGGATAGTGGAAAGGCTCTTCAATGGCAGCTGACACTTCCAAGATCCTAAACTTCCTGAAAGAATTACACAGCAATTAAACAAGAATCCACTTCGGAATAATGAAGATGCTACATAGAGCTATACGGCGCTTTTACTGAAATAACGCAAGGAAAGACATGAAAAAATGGTGGCAATTTTGTGATGCTTATGCAAGTCAGAAAAGAACGGACAAGAGAAGCTGCAAAGTTACAATGTATTTGTGCCATTTGAATGTATTGCCTTTGACATTTTGGGACTTATGCCACAAACTGCTGATGATAACAAATACATCCAAGTGACCTTAAGAATATCCTAATCCTCCTGATCAGGAAGCTGTCATGGTAGCAAAGATAATAGTACAGCATCAAATTTCCAGATTCGAAGTACCTTTTCAGTTACATTCTGATCAAGAGAGAAATTTTGCTTTGGCTGTAATTTAAGAATTCTGCAAGCTACTCAGCATTTACAAAACCCAAATGACACCTTTACATCCCCAGTAATACGGTATAGTAGAAAGGTTTAATTGAACTACCTTAGTAACCTCTCGGCGGTTTCCAGAAACCAACAGGACTGGGACAAGAAGTTAACCTCTGATTTTACTTTGTAATTACAGTGCTGTCCACAAGACTACTGCCTATTCCCCACCTCAGATGCTCTTTAATTGTGATCTTCATTTGCCTCGCAATCTATTCTTTGGTCACCCTACGGATGTGCATGCATCAGCTGAGGAGTACATCCAGGATACCGAGGCTCAGTTTGAAAAGATGCACAATTTTACACAAGGTTGAGTCAGCTTGGTGATGGAAAAGACCAAGATCCAATACGAAATAAGAGCTACAGGACACTGATTCAACGAAGGTGATATGGTGTGGTTGTGGAATCTGATTTGATTGAAAGGAATCTCTCCTAAACTACAGCCACCTTGGTTTTACCACTCTTACAGAATACTAAACAGGCTGAAAGATTTTATAATACAGATCCATCCATAGAGTCATCAAATACTAATCATAAAGTTATTCATTATGACAGGCTATCCCCTTACTATGGATATAGCATGTATTTCCCATAGTGTACATAATGTAAAGAGTATACTATGACACATGGTCCTATTTGTTTCTAAATTTGTGCACTCATTTGTTGATTTAATATTTGTTTTCTGCTATTTACTGAAATTATTGTTTAAGTATTGCATATATTTGATTTAGTTGTAAGTATCGCTTCCTGTCCAGGGATTGTACTGCCTGGGACGTGCAACCCTTGGGAGGGGAGAAGTGTTGGAATTTGTCCACAGATGGACGATTTTAGTGCAGTTATATGTGAAATTGTTGTATTTTTCTGTGTAATGTAACACGAAAAAATTTAAAGAGACCAGTTATGATGGAAAAGCAAGAATACAGGGGGCAAGTCCATTTAACATTGAGTAAATGATTATCTCGGTAATATGGGAAGAAATCGCCAAAAGTCGCCAAATTTTAGACCATTTGGCGACGTTTTAGTCCAATCTCTGTATCACAGTATTAGGTATTGTAACTGAATAAACGTAATTATCACTATATTAGCTGTAACTGTAATTTGACCCTCATATCACCTTCCAGTAATTTCAAGGAGAAGAAAGTACTACAAATGTCTTGGTGGCCGTTTGAAAACTGTATAAGGCCGGACAGAATCTGCTCTGTCAGTCAGTCAGTTGTTATTAGCTGTTAGCTCAGCTTGAGTTTGGAGTACTGAGATTTCTCGGTGCAGCTTTCTCTTTAGCTGCTCTTTGCATTTCATTGCATTTATCATACATAGTTGATCGATGTGTAACTACTGCTGCACTCTGTGACATTATGAAGAGTTATACGACTATTTTTGTGGAAAGTTTCAAATCTCTGAAGTGTTTCTCTTGATAAAATAAATTTATGAACCTATCATTGGACCTGCATGTATTTAATCTGTAGCAAACCCACACACATGCAAAAAAACTTATCACTTATGGTATGCGAACTAGCACTTTAGATGCAGTTATCTTTTTCTTTTTTAAACTAACAGCTGACAGCTATCTTTTTCAATATGCAGATTTCTCACTAATAATGTCTATATTTTTCAAATTATAAAACAAGTATTTTTTAGCAAACCGTTCTTTCCTTGATCTGGAATCCACCACTTATTCTCGCACCATTATTTTCTGTTGACATTGTTTGATTAATACTCTTTTATCATGCAACCCCAATGTTTCTGCAGACACATGGAGAGAAGTTGAATATGATTCAGTTCTGTGTGATCCGTCTTTCAGCAACGCATCACAGATGTCAATTAAAGTCGGCTCATTTCCTGATTGGAGAACTGTATACACATGTTCACATAACACTGATGGAAATGGCCTTAAGAACTTAGTTTACTGCTTTCTATATCAATGATGTTTTCATATTGTTTCATCCTTTCACCATTATTTTAGTCTTTCAAACATGTAAACCTTCTTTTATAATAATCTATATGCATATATACAATATAAGCTTAGATCAGAATATGAATTTTTGAATGACTGTTTATTGGTAGAAAAAGACCAAAAGATGGACCACTGAGGAGGAAATTCACAAATTTTATCAATTTTCATTGCACTCCTCCTAATATTATTATATTTTCCAAAGCATTTTTTTAGAATTATTTGCCATTTCAGTTAACAGAAATCTTGGTAGATAGAAGCATACAAGTGCTTTTATGAATAATATATAATTCATGCAAATTAAGAGAACAAAATCTTCAAAACTAATCCATACGTAATTTAAATACAGCCATGCATATTAAACAAACAATCTAATTCTTCTTGAAAGCTAAACAAATTATAAAATTTTAAGCTGTAAACAATGCAGCAATTATTGCTTTAATTGCAATTTCCAATCATTCTAATAAAAGAATAGAAATGTTTACCTTTTCTGCGAAACTGGACGTAAAAATAACTGCCAGGGTGCCCATCAACTGCTGGAACCCATGTCACTAAAATACCTGCTTTACCCTGCTCACCAGGCAGGTGTGACCAAATAAAAGCTGGTGTATCTGGAACTAAATAGAAGATAGTTAAAAATTTTACATAATCCTGAAACTTAATACAAAAATATCCTAATAATATAAATTAATATTAAATTCACTTACATATTCCTATTGGTGTATATGAATGAGATGCACTTTTTAACAAACAAATGAGATCTTTTCTTAATCAAAAGTTGAACTGCATTGCTTACAAGAACAGGAAGGGATCTCATACTTTGGGAAAATGTGGTTTATCTAGAGCAGGGCTACTTTTTATTTCTTTAGAGAGATAAGATAGAAAAATTTCTGTTATTAGTCCTTGTTTAGTTTTTATTGATGAAACCTTAACGTCATTCCCAACCAATACTCTAGAAATATTTAACGTGTTGTTACAGACAGTAACCTTAACGTCATTCCCAACCAATACTCTAGAAATATTTAACGTGTTGTTACAGACAGTAAAACATTTTTTCTCATTCAAACACAGGGTAAAAAATTCAACAGTTTTTTTTTTAAAACTTATATCAGGTTCTTTGGACTTATATCAGACTTTTTTTATATTCTTTTACAATAACTTAATAAATGGCTACCATGCATTGAAGGTTTTAAATTAGTTAAACTCCTATTTAAATGATATTATGAAGTGTAGCATGTACTTTTACACATCAAATAATACAATTAATAGAGATAATATATTATATACAAGTTTAATAATTAGTAGCATAAAAATGAGAGAATATCTCAGTAGCTTTTAGTCATTGTAATCACATGTATATATATCAACAAACTTGCATACAATATGCTTACATACAATTCAAATGTAAACTTACATACACATACTAACAAATAAACAAAAAACACTCCGCAAAGTATCTCTTACATAAATACAAATAAACAAGCTGATCATTTCAAAAGCATTTTATGGCTCAGTAACATTTGATAGTTTTATATCATCGACCAATAAATTAATCTTATATGCAGAAGGTATACGGTGAAAACTGATTTCTAATTTGTTTTTCTTATTTAACATAAGCATAACTGAGTACACAACTATGAAATTTACATTTAAACTTGTTTTAACTTTTTTAATACCATCAAACACACAGATACAGTAACAGATAAGTAAATTTTCACTTGTACATGGTGTTAATGATATCTAAACAGTTCTGAATTAAAATGTTGATTAGCCTTTTTTTTCATTTATATACCCTTCCCCAATGGCCCACTGAAAGACACGCTATGCTTTACATATTTAATAAAGTACAATTTAATCACTTTTAGATGGAGACTCATACCGAGGATGCAGCAACTCCCTTAATACTAAGAAATGAAAACATTTACCTACTTGACGATCTGTTATAGATTTCTGAGAAGATAAGTGTTTTTACAACATACTAATTTAAATCAAGCAGCATGTGTAATAAATTAGCTCACTAATGATTAAATTTAAGCTTTAGGGGAGACGAACATGAAAGTGACAAAGGTTCTTGCATTGTAACATAGTTGTAACACATAGTTCTTGAAAAACCATGACACATAATATGCATACAGTTATGGTTCACCATATGGTTCCTGTATCCACCAGTAAAACTGCTTTCACAACAGAACAATTTAATTATTTTAATTGGTACATAAGTATATGTATATATAATACATATATATGTATATATAAGTATATGTATATATATATATACATATATATGTATATATAAGTATATGCATGCATTGTTATGCATACAAGGAATGAACATAAAGTGAATATTAATACATATTTGAAAATATAATTCATTGTTTTAGACATTTTATTAAAATTTGAAAACAAAAAGTAAACACATATATGGATAACAGTAATATATTAGCAATGGTAAGTCAATGTCTCAGTAAATGCTTGTAAGAAGAATTTAATATGTTACAAATTTAATGCAGCCTTTTGCTATGCCTCGCTTAAAGTATACATGAAAACGCTTTTGCTATATATTTTCCGCCTGAAATGCCTTTTCATTTTAAATCAGCATGAATATGTATTATAAAAAACACCTAAACAGATGCTTCCAATAAATAACAGATTTTTTATCAGTTACAGAACATAATCCTTAAGAAGAAAATAATAAAACCTCTTACGTTTCAAAATCAGTTTAGAAGTTTAACAAGAGTCAGGAGGTATAATTAATATTGAATGAGGAGTCCTAAATGCAAAATTGCTTTACAATGTCATATAAAATTCCAATTATCTGCACAAGTAACAGGCTCTAATAATTTGATACACACGTTCTTTTATTTCAAAATTTTCACACTTATACAAAACAGCCAGAATTTTGTTTTTAAGCTCTCATTGGTGATGTTTTTGACCACCTTCTGAAGTCTCTCCTCTCCATATTTATGTTTCAGATAAACATATGACTTCCTTTATACAACCAAATTTTACAAAGTTTCTCCACTACACTTTGCATGAAGTTTCCTCTTAAAATTCTAGTCTATACAATTTTTAATATAATCCATGCATTAATTATTATAAATTCGTTTTCTAAAATACTTCAACTGAACAATGCCTTGAAGCAATTTTTAATCAGCAGGTTTTTGTCACTTGGACTAAATAAATTGTATCACATTTAGTAACAATGTAAAATGCTAATACTTTTATGTGTTACATGGAATTATTATTTCCTTGTATTAGCTGAATGTAAAATAATCCACATGGGAGGCCCTTTGCTTACTTTTTTCAACACAATGCCCAGGTTGTGTCCCCCTGCTTCAAAATTCTCAGTGTGCAAAATGCAGTTCAAGTGCAATATTTGTGCAGTGCAGTTAAATACTGAAATATGTTTTTGCAACTTTTTATAAATGAAAACTTTACATTTTCTTTTTAAGAAAAATTTTAACTGACTGCCCCTCATCTCACAGCTGTAAAATACCGATAACTACACTTATGTTCTGCTGTTAGTTTCATACACAACAAATGATAATGAAACACTGTTTAAATAAACTGAATACTGAGTGCAAATTACCACATTTAATAAACTGATTATCTTTCACAAAACAGTTCATAAACTAGCTATCCACTTTCCACTTGCTTATATTTTATTCATATTTAAAAAACATCATATATATATACACAAGTCATCTTTCTCATATTAGAAAAATGTTTACAATATTCCTTAACATTTACTGGAAAGGCAAGTCAATCTGACTGTTACTGCTTGTAGGTATAGATACGTAGAAACTAAACAATTATTTGTTTTGAAATTTATGTGTTTCATATTTCAGTAATTTTAAGAAATGTTACAAAATTTCACCTTTAAAGCTAATATGAAAAATATACAGTTATGAAGTTTCAAAATGGTCAATTTGATGTGGTTACAGTGTTACGATGTCGTTATCCTTCTCTTATTACTATGATGGTTTCAATTGTGAATTTAAATAAGCTACATCAAAAGGAAAAAGTATATTATTAAAGGAAGAGTTTTAAAACTTTTATGAAATGGAATACTTGAAATTTCACAGACAAAATTTCACAATATACAATTAAAAAAATATGTTTTAGTTTCATGCACAACTTTTTACAGTAATAAGCTTACCATTTTCAGACTGTTCATTTGTTTTAACTTCAATATAATATGGGTCGCCTTGCCCTACTTTACTTGTAGCATGAATGGTTACTCTATATTTTGTATCAGGTTTCAAACCAGCAAGCTTTGCCCTTGTCTCTCTAGGATCAGTAATGGCTGGTTGTCGCTCCAATATAGTTCCAAGTGAAGTTCCATCCACTGAAATACATAATTATATTCTATCATTTTCAAAATTCAAGAACAAAACTGAGCAGCATACTGGGGAAAATATGTTTCTAATGCACTGGAAACCATCTTACAACGGAGGTCAAAAAGCAGCACACAGTATTTTTTCCATCTTTCAATTCTGCAAAAAGTGGATTTAACAAAGTAAACATTCAAACTGACTACTTTATTACAAACCCATTTAGCTGCACCATGTGTCGACCTGATGGAAATCCTGATTGTTAATGTCATATACAGCCAGAGATCATTGACAGCAAACTTTTACATTATCATCACATAAATCAACAGATCCTATATCCACTGCTGTAAAAGCCACAGCTCAATGTTTTTCTATATGAGAGGTACATGTTACTTGATTGTTGATTTCAAGGTACAGAACTCCTTTGTTGGTGACACTAAATAGCCCTTGCATAGTCACGCTTGTTTAAGTCAATGATTTTGGGTATAAATGCAGTTCTTACCTCAGCAATCACATCCAAAAAAGAAACAGCAATATTTTGCACAGCCTAGCTTAAATGCAGAAAAAAAGTAACTATTTTTAAATCATTGTAATTTTTGTATATTTATTACTAGATCTCATTTAGAAAAACTTTTAAATTTGTGTGGATTTCTCTAAAATCAATGCCACAAGTGAATCGTACTGATGGAAAATTATGTTGTTAATCTTGATAAGTGATTACAGTTAAATGAAAACGGGAAGTGGAGTGTGAAATCTTAACACTAAAGTACAAAACAAACTCAAAATTAGAAACAAACATAGAGCTCAAAATTTAATCATCATTAGAATTTAATATATCTTAAACTTCAGTAGACACAAATATTCATAGGAAGCCTTTACATGCTGTTAAAGAGTCTTAGCAAATCTACTTACTGCAATGACTGCTACAGAACATGCATACATTGACCCAAATACCATTCTCCGTAATCTACGCTAAACATAAAAAAAATCATGGCTGGGTTAGATTATTTGAATACGGCAAAGCACTCGAGGGCTGTCTGTCTATGAAGAGGGATGCCTTCATAGTGGACTTTCTAAAGGAAACTGGCTCATATTTATGCTACATATGGGGGGAAAAACCTCAAAATTCAAGTATGCAGCCTGTTTGTCTGGGATCTGATGAAAGTTTAGCTCCCAGCATTCAGCAATCTAAACCACTGAGTCATGGGTAGGGTCTAATAAAAATCATGCAAAAAATTTTCTAGGACGAAATGAAACTTTTTCTGGAAAAAAATAATCTATCCATAATGTTTTTTTATTATACTGAAAAGCAACACAGGCAGAAATAAAAACACTAAAATTCCATGAAAGGTTCATGGCAACTGACGAGACAATATATCCAATGAAAAAATCCTCCACCAGAAAGAACAGAAAATGTTCATTATTTGGAACCTATGCCATAAAAAAACCAGAATAAAAAACCTTGCCACATGTGCAATGCCCCAATGCTGTAAAAAGTTGAGGTACTTTTGCACTATTTGCTAAGTTAACCCTGCCTTATACATTGAAGAATGCTTCAAAAAATATACATTTTCTTCCATTTTTTCAACTTCTCTCTGTCAATGCATACTCATTATTCTTATCCTGTGCCCTGTACATATAATTTACACATATTTGCTATTGGCAATATAAACTGAGTGAACAAATCCAAGCATACATGCATATCTTAAAAGACAAAAACAATCTGCTGACCAGCATGTTTACAGTCTGTTTCTCGAGGGTTGAACAAAGAACTTACATTCACAAAGAAATCATAAAAGATTTTCATACCCGCCTGCCTGCCTGCCTGGACTTCAGATAGTTAATTTCTTTGAAGAGGAGTTTCCTTACTAATTTACCTAGTTTCAATCAACATGTAATTGTTTCATTAGGATCTGTCCATATGAGCATGCATAGCTGGTGAATCCATCTGTTAGACATAAAAGTTCAACATTTCACACTTGGTGGCATGCATAAAGAATTGAGAGAGAAGCAAAAATGCCAGATTAAGTTGTCATCCTTTGATAGTTTGATACTTTACGAACAGTCATGAATTTCAGGACAGCAAAGCAGTATACCAACACTCTGAATAGGCTGAAGAAGTCCAACTAGCCATTCACTAACTCCTGGCAACACATCAGATACAGTAAAACTGATGTTAGGATGACAAAGATGTTTAAAAAGTCTCTCCTTATTTTGAAAAACTACTAAGACATAAAATGCATTATTTCTCCTACCACACTTTTAAAGATCAAATACTGTATATTACTTTTCAAACTTTTCTTAGATTACTTATTCAAATGCACTTTTTGCAGGAAAAGGCCTTCAATATATTTGAGACACAAAATATCCTTACTTTATGAATTCACAATTACCAAAAAAAAAAAAAGAGAGAGAGAGAGAGAGAGTTTAGTTTATAGGGGGAAAAAGTATATAGTGCAGCTTTCAAACAATGTGATCGAAAGATTAAATGTCAAAGAAAATACAGATTTATTTCGATAGATAGCCCTGCTGCCAACAGACAAAAACAAACATGTGTGCGTGAGACAGAATGAAGCACAGATTATTTATTTGCTGATTATATTTCTGTGTTTGTAATATGTAATCAGTGCTTATTCTTTACAAAAAAATCAAGATACTGTAAAGAGTGAGATTTTTTTCCCCCTTGACAGCAATTATAATACGTGATAAAATCAGTTACTGCAAACTAATGGTTTGGAATCGCAGCTATAACTTAAACTAAAGCAGGCCCCGCACTCTTGAGATTAGGAGCCCTGAGTAAGGAAAAAGTACATACATATTTTTACAATGGAGATTTTATTTAAAACATCTACAAAATTAAAAACTTTGCTAACAATATTTATATTTTCACTTTTTAAACGAAGTAATTATTTATCTAACCTGAAAAATTGCTAGTGTCAAAGGATTAGCAGAGCTGTTGATAACAAATCAGTTTGTTTTCCTGATGTATGCACAGCATGCATCATGTACTTAAGTGTTGTGAATGATCATTCTGAAAAACTGATACTGATAAAATGTTATTTGAGGAAAAGGAAATATTATTTGCGGACAGGAAAAGCTCGCCAGTTTAATTTTCCTCACAACTGGGAATAATCTAACCTTGATAAAATTATTGATGAATTTTTTCCCTTATCTGTTAGAAAATAGAGATTTATATAATCCAATTGTAAAAAAAAAGTATAATGAATAATTTGCTTAATATTATTTGAACTGAATTATTTGCTTAAAATTATTTGAATTATAGAATATTAAATAATTTGCTCCACATATTTTATATTATGTTCTGCATGATGCCAAATAGCTTCAGCTGTCATAAAATTAACAGGACTACACAGAAATAAAAAATAACATATAGAACATATCAATAAGACTTAATATGACTCGACATACACCAAAAAGACATTTAATGAAAAATGTTTTATTTGATTGAAGTGTATAAAGTATTTTAATCACTGAGAAAAAATAAAACAAAAACAGGTTGAGGTTGGGAAAAACAATAAATAGGGAAGCCTCACTATCACCTATTGCTTCAGGAACACCCCAAGTATCTAGCTATGGCTCTGTTTAGAATCTAGCTATATTGAAAGATAGATCATATACAATGCATTGCATATTTACACATATATGAAATATACGAGTTCTACATTTATACTGGGTGGTTATACTTAAACTTCCCTTATAAATGACATCCTACAGTGCAAATGGATGAACAGAATGCAACAAAATTCTGTATATGGGCTATAAACGAGATGTGCTCACGGAATTTTTTAAAAAAATTTTTAGTCCCAAAATGTCTACCAGAGGGTGCCTTTTCGGGATAACAGGAAATTTAACACAGTAAATGACCAAAATGGAATAAAGAAACAATATTAACATTTATTGATTAGTTTCTGATCATCTTGTCATTGAACCACATTAAGTAAAGGTAAGGGAGATAAAAAAAAACAGTTCAGTTTGCAGAAACAAGAATAGATTAGGACAAAATTGCACAAGAGGAACAGCTGTTAATTATGCCCAGGATGATGTAGGGAAAGGTGCTCCACATGACCACCCTCATTCACCTGCAAAATTTCAAGTCAATGGACAGTGTGTTCAATAGCAGATCATAACTGATCAGTTGTCAGGCTTCACATATGAAGCGTTATGAAGGTCTTTAAGTCATTCAACATCTCCCACAAAGTTAGATCGGACGAACATGGTGGCCATGGGCTAGGAAAGTGACAATTAATAGCACGTTCCTTTGTGAAGTGTTGGAGCAATAGTGTCTTCACAGACCCATGGATATGTGGGGGTGCACCATCCTGCATGAAAATGGTCAATGTAAGGACCTTTGCTGTAGTTGCAGCACAACAATTGTCTGCAGTATGTCAAGGTACCAACAGCCTGTAATGGAACATGCGACAGACCCACGTTCACCGATTTCCTCAAAGAATGGCCCAAGGATGAATGTCACCATGAATCCACCCCAAACAGTGACCTCTGGAGACTGTAGAGGAATTTCAGTGTGGATCCGCAAAAGTTCCATACCCCAAATGTGGCAATTCTGCGTGTTGACTGTCCCACTGAGGTAGAAATGAGCCTCGGCGCTCCATAGAATATTCCAAGGCCATGACAGATCAACAGTTATTGTGTTGAGAAACCTGACTGTGAATGAGAGACGTTGTGGCTTATCTCTGTCAAGCAGCTCCTGGATATGGCAGATCTTGTATGGGAAGTAAAGCATTATGTTTCTGAATACTTTTTGGGTGGTGCTGTAAGAATAGCCTGTCTGTGGAGAAAATGCACAAGCATTACTGCCCCTAAACTCTGATGTTAGTGACTGTGTGTCAAAAGCTCTCTTAATGGCATCAACAAGTACCGGCGTGGCACGTTTACGGACTCTTCCAGGTTGAACTCCTAATTTTCCCGTCTCCTCAAATCTCTTAAGCATGGGCCGGATACCTTTAGTAGACAATGGTTCATGCCATAGGTTCTT